TCTTCCAAAGTAATGTTGAATATCTTTATGTGCATAAATTATGCTAATTGAACCCATGACCACAAAAAGCAGTGTCCAAGTAGAGAGACATGTTGTGAAATAATTAACACGTAGTGTCATAATGCTTAACTCCACGGAGCTAAGTAATTAACATATCGTATAATAATGCTTATAGTACGTTAAACTGGTATCTGCAAAGGATCAGCAGAATACAGATGACAGGAAAATTAATTCCAGTTTAGGAAAGCCATCTGTGATAGTTAACTTTAGATTTCACTTTGACTGGATTACAAGATACGTACAGAGCAGGTATAGCATTTTTTTCTAGGTGTGTCTATAAGAATGTTTCAGCTGAGTTGGTTGACTGAGTGAGGAAGATCCACCCTTAAAGTGGGTGGGCCCCCTTCCACTGGCTGGGAGCCCAGATAGAACAAAAAGGCAGAGAAAAGGCAAATTATCTTTCTGTCTTGGAGCTGGCTCGCCTTTTGTCTCCTGTCCTTGAACATCAGAACGCCAGGATCTTGAACCTTTGGACTCCAGGATTTGCACAAGCACCCACTGCTCCCACTTCTTACCCCAGCCCAGGTTTTCAGGTCTTTGGCCTTGGACTGAGAGGAACACCATAAGCTTCCCTGGTTCTGAGATCTTCAGACTTGAACTGAGCCATGTCACCAGATTCCTATAGCCTTCAGGTTGCAGTTGGCATGTCATGTGGCTTCTCAGCCTTCATAATCACATGAGCCAGTTCCCCTAAAACATTCCCTCTCATGGACATAGATATCCCATTGGTTACTCAACTCTGGAGTACTCTAACTAATACACCATTCTAAGAGCTCTAGAGTTACTACCATGTAACTAAAAGAAATCGATTGCAAATCTCTGTAAATGAAGAATTGGCATATTGTCATGTTTTCATAGCAATTTGCTATAGTAATCAACTTGTAAACACTTGGTTCTTATAGACTAATCCTAAATCCACTGTAAATTAAAATTGAGGGAAAGTGGCACTTGATGCATGTTTGTCCTGCTTGAAAATGTCTGTACAGATCACGTGTATGTATAAATCACTTCAAAACTTTATTATCCAAAGTTACGTAACGAGGGATCACAGTTACAAAAAGCAAAAGGCAAAAGTACCTATTTTACATATTTGTTGATCACTATAATCTCTGAGTATTGTCCATTCAAATGTCTATTCTACAGGCTGACAAACATGCTAAAATAAGATACATCAATGTCAGCCTAAAGTGCAAATATGCATGAATAATCAGTTTGATATAATTCCAGAAATATCAAAATGTAATACAGGACACAGCATCTCAAAATACTATTGCATATTAAACACCAGGATGAAAATGTTTTACATTTAAAGATTGCATATTTTTAATCACATTACAAATTTAAACAATTTTTGTTGTGATAGTTATTTGTTAAGAATTAGCCTTAGTCGTTTCTATTGAAACCGGAATTCTTTTCAGCATCTCTCGAGTTTGTAAAGCATTGACCACTAGGGGGCAGCCGTAACCAAGCCATTTAATAAGTTTCTTTCCTACTTTAAATTTTGAATTTATTTTAGATATATCCTCTTGAAGCCAAAGGAAAACTGCATACTCAAACAAGAAAAGGGAAACCCTAATACCAATTTATGATTCAACTTTCAGTCTTTCATTTTCTCATGAGCTACCAAGTCTTATCTTTATTTTCAATTACAATAAAATGAAATTTACTCAAGAGAGACATAGAATAAGTCATCAGTTTGTTGTTATATAGGATTGGCAATGTCCATTGACATCTGAGTTTGTTTTTCTAAGTGAAGCCACCAGTAATCTAGTTTATATGTTGTTAGGGTCACAGCAAGCCCAAAGAACCCCTCCCTCTCCGTTCTCCCCTGCTAAGCCGAGCTCATAACAAAAACAGCCTCAAGCCTTGTTAACAGAGTACCTAGGTTCCACAATGTGGTCGAACCCAGCTCTCGAACCCAGGACACTGACCCAATTAAACAGAATGTCAGGCCCTGAGAACCAAGATGCAGTTTTTCTTAGAATAGCACCTGGCTACCTGCAAACCCCTACGTGACCCCCATAGTCTGTAAGCCAGGCTGCTGCCTTCACTGCCTGTGGTGAGGCAGCCAGCCTGGCTGGTTGAACTAAACTTGCTAAATCTGACCCTGAGTCTGCCTCTCCATCCTTTCTGTCAACCTCACATATGTATTATCTAATTTCATTCTTACAATATGCCTATGAATTCAGTACTGTTGTCATCTTCATCTGTAAGATGGGGAAACTAGAGATTTTTAGAAGGTCACAAATTATCAGGCAGAGTAGGAATTCAGGCCTAGTTTTGCCTAATTTCAAATTATGTGTAGTTGTAACTTCTCATTTTTTTCTGTTTTAATTATAAAATACAGAATACATGCAGAAAAGTATAGATAGATAGATAGAAGATAGATCAGATAGATAGATAGATCGGATAAATAGATAGATAAGCATGCAAAAATTTCCCTTAGATATATGACAAAGAGTCAAAGAGCTAGCTTATCAGGTCTACATGTCTTCAACTTTACTGGAAACAATGCAAATGTCAGTTAACAGCCAAATCGATAAAGCATAGTAAATACATACAATGGAATAACACTCAGCAGTAAGAAAGGAACTACTGATAGAAGCAACAACTAAAAGAGTAAAAGAAGCTGGACAAGAAAGAGGACATTTGGTTTTGCTCTGTGTTTTATTTTCTGTCCAACATGGCAGATTTGAGGCATTGTTAGCATGCCTGTTCCACTTGGAGAAACAAAACAGTGTGTAGAGAGTCATACTGTGAGCTTTTTTCCAAAAAGGAAAACGGAAACGGATCGCAGACCCTTTGAAAGAAGTGGCAGGCTGCAGTCTACACCATGAGCCAAGTGGAATTTTCACAGTGTGAGAAGTCACAGAGTGTGAGAAGGAAAGAGACTGCCTCCGGGATGTAAACTCCCACTGGGGAACCTGGCAATCAAGGCAATGGGGGAGGCCTTAACCCCACACAGCTCTGGAGCTGATTTCGTAAGCGGTGGGGAGTATATGAGAAGGAGCAGCATCAAGATGTGCTTTGCATGCACACCCAGTCTCCAGAGGGGACAGAGAGAAGCTATTCCTGATTGTACCTCATAGGGGACCGTAGGGAAGCCTGCTAGCTAACTCAGGTGGCAGTCACAGGTTGAAAGACACTCCCAACTGAGATTTGCAGTATAATCTTGAGGGGGGATGAATTTCCCTTGGCTAGAACCAAGGGCAAGTGGGAAGCGTGCTGTAGCTATAGATACAAGAGATGGCTGCCCCTGCTTCGCAGGCTGACCAAAAAGGCATGGCCTGAAAGCCATGGTTTCCACCTCCTTGTGTTACGGTAGGTAGGTGGTCAGACATGAGCAGGTCAAGAGAGGGCTCCCTCGACTTACCAGGAATGTCAGGAGACCATCCGGTGTGGTCCAGCAGTTGTCACACTGCCTCTCTTAAATGATAATTGGTTGCAGCCAGCGCCATGGAAAGGCAATTTGCCAGCAGATAAAAACACCTGAAATTGATAATCAGCAGCTTTCAATAAGATCGTAGGAACTGGGCAAGTGGGCTCAGTTCCTTGGGCATGCTCATTAACAAGCAAAATGTTGGAGAATGGCTTTCCATGGCATTCCACCAAAAAGGGGAAGAAAGCCTCAGGTGAACATGCATACAACTCCACTAAACACACTGCACATGCTCTCCTCCCAAGCACAAGCAGGGCACCACTATGTGGGCGTCTCACTCTAAGGGAAGAATGAAGGGGAAGGGGCACAAGACACTGACAGTAGGCCAGCATATAAAATCCTAGGTTCAGGTTTAAACAGGGCACTTGACCTCCAAGATGCCCACTTGGGTCTCTCCCAAGTGTACTTTCCTTTCTTTCCTGGTCTAAAGCTTTATTTATTTATTTATTTATTCATTTATTTTTTATTTTTATTTTTTGAGATGGAGTCTCGCTCTGTCACCTAGGCTGGAGTGCGGTGGCATGATCTCGGCTCACTGCAACCTCCGACTCCCAGGTTTAAGTGATTTTCCTGCTTCAGCCTCCTGAGTAACTGGGACTACAAGTGGCGCACAGCACCACACGCAGCTAATGTTTGTATTTTTAGTAGAGACGGGGTTTCACCATGTTGCCAGGATGGTCTCGATTCCTTGACCTCATGATCTTCCCCCCTCAGCCTCCCAATGTGCTGGAATTACAGATGTGAGCCACTGCACCCAGGCCTCTTGCCCTAACGCTTTTTAAGAACTTCCACTCCTGCTCTGAAACGTGTCTTGGTCTCTTTTTCGGCCTTATGCCCTTTAGTTGAATTCTTCCTTCCAAGGAGACAAGAATTGAAGATGCTGCAGGTCTATACAGATTCCCCGCTGGTAACTCGGATAATTTCTGCCTCCAACATATTTTGGTTCTGTGACTTGGATACCTCCTGCTGCTAAACCTGAGGCAGCTTTGAGCTCTGAGTGCAGGCTGCCTGGAACCTAGACAGCTACTGCTAGTGAAACACTGCAGGTGTGAGACTTGCCACCAAGAGCTGCATTACTAAATTTAGAGTTGGAATTACTTCAGCAAAATATGTTTGCCAAGAACATAAAACGAGTGTTTTGATATTTTTTAATAGATGGACTATTTTAATTTTTTATTGACAATTACTTGTATATTTTATAGATGTTGATAGAGGCATCCTATTGCATGTATACTTTTCCAAAATTAAATTTACTTCTTCCTCTGGTCGATTGGCTTCCACAGGTAATTAATCAAATGGAGTATCATTGCATTGTGAAAGTTCACTCTCTATGAAAGTTTTATTTTCAATTACATCTATAAATGAGTCTATATTTCCTTTATTGCACCAAACAATTATGGTAGGAAATTTAAATAATGCTGAGCACGCTACACATCCATAATATTACTGTGTCATTTTACTATCCATCCCAGTAAATATTCCATTTTCTGCATGCTATATATTTTCCTGTAACTGGGGTAGTTCCCAGAGGCCGCTGCCCAGTGAATTCTAAGTACCATCTGGTCTGAGAGAAAAGCATATGCCACCCATTACAGAACAAGTTTTTACTGATAAAGGCTTTTAAGTAGCATCTGTTTCCCATAAAGAGGAAATGGTGTTGATCCTTAATCTGTCCAATCTCAACCAATTTCACCACAAGGAACATGGCTGTCTTTTAAAGTTGGGTACTCGGGTTATGAGAAATTAGCAGTAAAGACTGCATCCTCAGTAATAGCTTGCCATGGGAGGCTGGCATTAGTGTTTCCACAGCCTAAGCCTCTAGTTTACCTAGCCCCAGTTTCTCTCTCTCCCTCCCTTCCTTCCTTCCTGCCTGCTTTAATTCCTTCCTTCCTCTTTTCCTTTCTTTCTTCTTTTCCTCCCTTATTTCTTCTTCCTTTTTTTCTTTCTTTTGAAATTTCAAATAGCTTTACTGCCTTCCTAACTGGCCTACCTCACACAGGCAAGGTTTCTGAGAAAGATCTCCTTCTAGTGTCCCTGAGTTAAAATTCCTTCTCATAATGATAAGCCTCTGGAAAAGCCATCTACACTTGATTACCACATCAAATTTAATTCCAAAGGCTCCCAAATCCCTGTTGGTATGTTGGAGCTGATTTTAGTTAATACCATAGGTATAGTTGCTACTAACTGTTTATGCCGTGAGTGCTATTTAAGTGTATGATTGGCACCCAAAATACTGATCCTTCAGAAGATTTTCAGTTGAGCATGATGACTCCTAGACGCAGTTCAATTTAATCTGCATAAGACTTCCCATAATCAGTTTTTTCCAGGTAATGCCAATAATTCAATTTTATTGAGCCTCGTTAACCACGTGCCCTGCATTGTGTCAAGCACTATGCATTCCTTATCTCGCTCTATGTTTTTTGTTGTTGTACTTTAAGTTCTCAAAGGCAAATCCATAATGATATTTGATCATCATGTCAGGCCATAGTTCACTCTCTTGGACCTCATTCCAATGTCCTAAGCGTCCTATTTGTTTAATATTATTTCTTCCACATGCACATGTGATTTATTCAAAAGAGCAAAGGGGATTCCAACCTATTAGAAATGCAGTGTCGGCATGTTTTTCTTCATAGCCATCCCCAGCTGAGAGTCACAATACATCCAGATCAGCTCAAGGGTAAGATTTCCCTCCAGGCTACAACAGAACCAATAAGATAAATGTAGCCAACAAAATGAAATTCAAATGAGCATTTCCACCAGTTAAGACTGAGGTAAGTCATCAAGGGTAATTGATGTTTTTTCAGTAAATAACCTAAACAGAGTTCTTGGCTTCAGTGCCATTCTCCTTTCCAGTTGGAGAAAAATTTTAGGATCTTCTTTCTGAGCCATTAATTACTCGGCGCTACAGGATAGAGAAACAGTTAGGAGTATTTTTCTCTTGTTCTGAGACCTTCTCTCAGGAAAAAAGTGATGTGTCCATTCCCAGCATCATTACACATTTTATCTATGCCCTTCTCATCTGCCACGATTATTTTGCTTTCCATCTGTTATCTCTTTATTGCCGGCTTTTATTCCTTGGGCATGTCTCTACTGCTTATCTATATGGGGCAAATAGCTGGAATAACCCTGCCAGGCCTTCCCCACAAAGAAGAAATGTAAATATAAGTAGTGATGGGACCACACCACTTGTAGGCAGTGGAGCAGCACTTACAGCCAGTACTAGTTTATACGTGAGATGGAGTCACTATCCAGTCCATTGTTTCCTTACCAGTATGCAAATCAAATTCACAGGCATTGAAACAGCATCCTGAGTGGTGATACCTCCCTATGCTGGGGTAGGCTATGTGTAGCCCAAACCTGATACAACTAGATAGGGCAAGATAAAAGAAAATTTTTGTTGGAAAGATAAAGTTCTGTAAGTGCATCATCAGTCTTCTCTTTATCCCTACAACCATGTAGCAAAAATCCTTCCCAATGGTTTTTCTACTTTAAATTCACCCAATCCAACCAGCTAGTCCTTCATGTCCTCATCATCACCACTTTTTATTAACAGATATTTTAATTGCCCATTCCAATTAGATTTTTGGGAGTGGGAAGAGCAAATATTTTTAAGTAGTTCGTTGGCTTTTTTTTGCACAAATACACTGGAGAAACATGTGATGCTGTCAGCATTTAACACAATCCTGGGCCACAAGTCTGCACACTCCTTTGCAACTGGTCCTATGATGGCAGGACCTTCCATCTTGCCTTCATTGTTTTCTATGACCCCTGTATTATCTTCAAAATAAAGAAACATACCATTCTTTCTTTGGTATGACTTTTTTTGCTGAACTGCTACTGCTGGATATGCCTCCTTTCTGAGCTCTGGTTGTCTGCCTTTCTTGACTGTGATCATCACCATGTCACCCACACCAGCAGTGGAAAGTCTGTTCAGCTGCCCTTTGATTCCCTTCACATAGATGATATAGAGATTTTTGGCTCTGTTGTTGTCAGCACAGTTGATCATGGCTCCTATCGGCAGACCCAGGGAATTCCAGTATTTCACACTGGAGGACCCACTACATCCTTGCTTAGCCATCTTCAACACTGGAAAAGGACAGAAAGACCCATTTCAATTCTTGATGAAACTGTTACTAAATTGATGATGCAGAATCTGATAAGTCCATATAATGCTGAGTCTCTTAGCTCAGTTTTGTATATAGGCATCATGATATGTAGACTTTGATTTGATGAAATATAACCTAGGAAACTGAGTTTATTCACATTCTGTTGTTCCACATCTATAATAGTGTCCTAAGCCAGGGATCCCCATCCCCCAAGCCACAGACCAGAATGAATTTGTGGCCTGCTAGGGACCAGATCACACAGCAGGAGGTGAGCAGCTGGTGAGCGAGGGGAGCTTCATCTGTATTTACAGCTGCTCCCCATTGCTCACATGACTGCCTAAGCTCTACCTCCTGTCAGATCAGTGGTGACACTAGATTCCCATAGGAGCATGAGCCCTATTGTGAACTGAGCATGTAGGGGATCTAGATTGTGCTCTCCTTAGGAGAATCCAATGTCTAATGATCTGTCACTGTCTCCCGTCACCCCAAGATGGGATTGTCTAATTGCAACAAAACAAGCTCAGGACTCCCACTGATTCTACAGTATTGTGAGTTATAGAAGTATTTCATTATATAGTATAACATAATAATAGCAATAAAGTGCACAATAAATGTAATGTGCTTGAATCATCGCCAAACCATCTGACCCCCCACTGGTCTGTGGAAAAATTGTCTTCCATGGAAGCAGTCCCTGGCGCCAAAAATGTGGGGGACCACTGTCCTAAGAGATTGCTACACCCCAAGGATAAGCAAACTCAAAGCCCAACGTTTATGTATTCTAGTCAGAATCCAGTTGAAGCCACCTGGGGCTATTAGTAAGGTTTCTACATAGTCTACCCGTGGTTCTTTGCTTTCAAAGAATCTTACCAAAAGTCATCTCTTAGAAATTCTCTATTAACATTCTGAATAACGTGTTACTACATTAGTAGTTTCCATAAAGGAGTATGTCATGATTCTACCCAATGTTTATGGCTTGCACAACAATATCCCTGCCTATTTCATGTACCCAAATAGATAAATCCAAGGAATGGAACAGTATACCAGCCTTTGTATTCCAATCCCTTATGAGCCAGCAGCTAGGCTTTATCTGGTGGCCATTGGCATGATCCATTTGAATTCTTCCACAGAATTACCACAGATTTCCACAATTTAATTCTCCTCACAGTGTATGCTTACTTGACTGGTCATGTGGCTCCCCTATGTACTAAATGCAATGTCATTAACCACAGCGTAAATCAAAATAGCATGCATTACCTCAGATGAGTCAAAATTGTCCTGTACTCTCAGGTATACTGCCTTCAATTTTGCCCATTTTGTGGGCTTTAGCCTTCAACCAAGGTTTACCATCAGCAGGGTGAAAGAGATTAAGCTTCCATCAGGCATAATGCCCCTCAGAATAGTAGATACCCTGGCTAATAACTAGACTGGGGCATAAAGGAGACTTCAGAGATGCCTGCTGCTGAAGTTTTGTTTCTTATCTGAGTGCTAGTTTCTCGGGTTTGTTAAGTTTGTAAAAATGCATTGAGCCATATACATGAATCTTGCACCTTTCATGTTAAAAAACTTTTTAAAAGTAATTGCTAATAATTTTAGACTTATTTATAAGACTTGAATTCAGATAGCTTAAGATTATCAAGGATGCTAACCTGAGAGAATGATAGCAACACATAAAATAAGTAATGAAGCGGTGAGAGTGTGTGTGTGAGAGAGAGAGAGGGAGAGAAAGAGGGAGAGTGAGAGAAACAGAGACAGAAGCAGAGAGACAGCTAAAGAGAGAGAAATTGTCAACCGTTTTTGAATCCCCAGATTCAATTATTTCTGAAGCCAGTTCTATGCCCTTTCTCTGGTTTGATTACTTGCTCAAACACTACACTCCTCCTTTTTACTCATATAATTCAGGTTGAGTGTTGTCACTAGTAACTAAAATAGTAATAACTGCAAAGTAATCAAGTTATAGTCTCTTTCAGTTTTAGTCTTATGGAATTCTTATTAATATTAATTACTGCATTCAGTAAGTTTCAAATATTAAGCAAAAATGGCTTTAGGTTAAAGAATACAACATTAAGAAGGGACTCATACAGACTAAAATCACATGCTTTAGAAATAAAATCAGACAACAAAATTAAGGCGAAAGCAGTGAATATCAGAAAATCCTGACAAATGAACTTTTTTCCAAAATCACACACACTCACACACATTATCAAATTAGACCCAAGTTTTATAAGAAATTAATTTTTTCACAGATACAGAATATAAATCCAAGAAAAATTACTGTTTTTCACAATTATGACTTTAAATCACACTATTTCTAGTCATTTACAAGTACTACGATGTTCTGTTTCTTCATCCTATATGTAAATAAAACATCTCTTCAGTCTTAGTTACTTCTCTTTGGTCTGTGCTTTCTCCTTTCTGAATTTTACTCTTCTGTGATGTGGTAATAGTTATTAATATGTGAATCTTTCGCATATCTATTTTTTTCCTTTTTCATACTTTAAGATAATTTCCTTCTTTCGATTCCCTGAGAAAAGAGAAACAAAATATTCTTAGTGGATTTTCTGGGGAAAGGCAACCAGAGGGAAGAGGAACATTGGGTCACTGGAGATCCACACCAACACTAATATTAGGAGCGCATGTACCATGAGGAAGAGAAGAGACGAGGAATCCAAGATGGCAGAGTTAGGGCAACAAAGTTAGTCATATGAAAGTTTTCCAGCAATTTGAGCAAGAGAGAACTGGGGAGGATATGATATTCTAATTTGACTTCCCAAGCACTAAAATAAGATTTGAGTTCAATAAACTGAAACCTCTGTTTAATCTTTAAATGGAACAGTGCAGCCTGTACTATGCACAAGTTGTTAGAAGCAAGTTTATGTAATACTATATTATGAGGCCATTAACATAAAAGAACATACCTCTACCTAGCAATAAGTGCACTGCATGAAGAGGGACTAAGATGAAGGATGAATAAAAGGCAACTCAAAGAAAGACAGAAGCATAAGGTCCTAAGGAAGGATCAAATAATCAAAGATGGCATCTGATCAGGAGTAATGCTGATCCAATCCAGTTCTAGGGAGAAATGCCAGATATAGGTGATGGGGAGGAAGGCAGCAAACCACACTGCCATGTGTGTACCTATGCAACAATCTTACATGTTCTTCACATGTACATCAAAACCTAAAATGAAAAAAAAGGAGCATAGTCTGAGAAAAGAGGCAAGGGATACAGCTTGGGATGCTCAGAGAGTGGGAAGGACTAGATGGAGTATTTTAAAACTTTCATCAGAGGGAGAAAAAATGTAGTGCAGATTCCCTAGGGCATGCTCCAGGAAGAGAGGGAAATGTGAGGAGGGAAAAATGCATCCAGGCAGTGGATTAAACAGCAGAACTGATCACAGGGCACCAGCCCAGAAAGGCACAGCTACCAGGTATCTGATAGATCTAGGCATAAAGTGGCCAACTACCTGACCCCTTCCAGGCTTCCACACCACCAGACACATCTACCTGTTTGCTCAAGAGGCAAATTCTCTAAGAAGTCATCAGCAGCCCACAGCATTCGTCTCAGAGCAGAAAGAATTAGAACATCCTTTACAGGATCCAACTCCCACTCAGAGGAATAATTGCTAACCACCAAGATGTCAGGAAGAGCAAATCCAAGTTTTCTTTGGAATTCCTCTATCTGCAATACAGAAATTAAAAAGACATTGCCAAAAACTGAAAATATTATTTTATGTCAATATAAATTATGAAAGCAATATCAAAATGTAGGAACTTGCCAATAATTTTCTACTGGGTAAATGGAGATCAGGACTCACAAAGTACCTTGAAGAACTTCATGTCAAGTTCTAATGTTACTGGCAGTTATAATTTGGAATATGTGCAGTGGATTCTAAATGATTTAGAAACAAAATTTTAAAGATATCTACACTACAGTCCATAACTCTCCTGTTTCTTTTACAAGACGTTCTCTGGATAAGTAGATTTCATTACACTAGTTTAATGTTTAAATCTTGCTTAGACTATTTAATCTCTAGAACCAGACTGCCCAGGTTCAAAATATTTATCTGTCACTGCTCGGCACTGTCAATAAACATTGGTAAATATTTATTCTGTTTTCTTTGTTTCCTCACATGTAAAATGTATTAATGACAGTACACATTTCATAGGCATTTTATGAGGACTGATTAAGAAAATCTATCACATACTTAGTACTCAACAAACATTAGCTATCATTGCCTTCCCCCAACTGGTGTTTAAGAATTTTAAAATTCTTCTTAATCCCACTAGCTGTTTGTTTTTATTTTTTACACACTAATATGTGATTGTAGTAACATACCCCTGAAAATGTGTTTACAAAGGGAATCAGTAATTACCTTTAACTTCACACGCACACATCTGTCTATTTCTATAAGGTCAGCTTTTGTAATCAGATCGATGTTATCCAAGTGAGTGAGCAAAGCCACATGTACCATATCTATGACAAACAGAAATTTTTAAATCATTTTAGAGAGCTACAAGTTACTCAACTATCAACTATAGAGCAATTTCAAATTTGGAAAGTTCCCCCCACCCCCTGTCACCTTCACTCCCCAAAAGAACTCCTTGGAACTACTTATTAGTATCTGAAAATTCTCTAACATGGGAAATTTCCTTCATTGTCTTCCATGGTAAAAAATGAGGATTCAAATGAAACCACCCCTTGGAAGAGGTAACTAAAATTTATACTACAATATTGCTGATTGATTTCATATTCTGTCCAGAAATAATGTTTGGATAGAGACTAGGAAAAAGACCAAAGGGCTCTAATGAACAAGATGGGGGAAAAGAGTCCTCAAGAAGGAGACAGAATGTGTCAAAGCATCACAAGTAAACTGCTCTTATTTCACAACACTAGCAATCATCTCTCTGCACATCTCCCCTTTGCCTAGTTTTAAATTTCAGCAAGCAGGTAACTTGATCACTCTCTGCTTCTAAATTAAGAAGAGTGATAAACTGACTCTTTCCCACTCAAAATGGATATGACCAAGAAAAGCCAGAATGGGTCACCCTAAATCTCTGATCCCAGTTATTTCTCCCAACTCTTTACCTCTCCCTACCAAACTTCTTATCTTCCTATTTTTTTCCTTACTGAAATGTTTCTTTAAACTTTCTAATTTTTAAGGCCCAAGGTCTTATCTTGGTCAATAAATGCATGCCAGGATACAGGGGTAGCATGTAGTTCGGATTGTACTACCCTTCATATATATATTAAGTTTTTTTAAATTCTTAACAAAAAAGACTTTAAGGTAGGGAATATTATTATACTAACTTGATTGATTAAAAAATTGAGGCCCAGAGAGTTTAATTACTTGCACAAAGGCATATAGCTAATGAATGCTCAATTTGATTGAAGCATGCTGGTAGGCCAGGGAAGGCTGAAATATGCAATTACTTAAGTTCTTTATCCTGTCCAAAAGACATTCTAAAATACAATCTGGTCAATTCCCCTTAGTAGCAAAGTGGAGTGAGACTCACCATACTTTATTAACAACCTTCGAATGCTTCTGATCTTTGCTATCATCTTAGAGGAAAAGTGTTCAATAGAGTTGGCATCAAATACAAATGCCACACAATGAATTCTGTCCTTCAGCGATGGGGAATCAATGTAGTTATGATGACTTGATGTGATTGGTTTCGTGGGATTAAACTGTAAAGTAGACATAGAGCAACATTTTAATTCAACAAATATTTATGAGCACAAATTATATGGCCAGCACTGTGCAAGTGAAGCAAATGGTAAACGAAACAGAAAAGTCTCTAATAGTGTGAGGCTAACAATCCGGGTAGAGAGAAAAGGCATTATGCAAGTAGCTAGCAGTCCTTTCACCTAGTCAAGTAAGGCCTCTGTGAGGAAAGGACATGTAATCTGAGAGCTAAAATAGCAGGAGCTGGTCTGCTAAAGAGGGTAAGGTTATGGCTGAAAGTGTTCTGGATAAAAGAGGCGATCTGCCCACCGATAGAAGGAAGAGCACTCAGAAAAAAGGCTGGTACCATCAAGCAGAGTGCAAGGAGGGGAGGGGTTCAAGATGAGATGCCTTTACTCTTCAGCTAGCACTTTCTCTGCTGGGAATCCGTCCCACTGATATACTATAAAAAATGCAAAATGACACATGCACAAGGTTATTAACTGCTGAAACATCTGTATCAGAAAAATGCCATGTCAATGAAAAATTCCCCCCACCCCCGTCACCTCCACCCCCCAAAAGAACTGATATGTCAATAAAACATAGTTTTGTACCACTTCTCCAAGAATGGAGTAGCCACAAATTTGTATGTACTTTGTTGCACATTTAAAAAGGTAAGTACATTTTATATGGTTACTAATAGGAAGAGGGGAGAAATTTATTTGAAGTGGCAGAGAAGGAAGATAGATTATTTGAATCTACCTTATTTTGTATATTTGATCTTTGAACCAACGCTAAACATAAATAGAAAACCAAATTAACTTAAAAACCAATTCATAAATTTAATTGAATTAGTGAACTGTTGTGGTTATTATACAGAGAAACTATTTCTGATTGACTTTAAAATACAGTAATTTGGATACCCCTACAAGGATACATGATACAACCTAAATACACTATAAAGGGCTGCTAAAATGTTTTGTCTCCAGTTTGGATTGTGATTATATGAAATGATATTAAATGATTATGATGAAATTGTTCATGGTACTGATAGAGCCTTTATACTGAGACTACTGTAGATATCACATAAGATAAAGCAAATGAGTTGTGACATGATATTCTGTTATCTCCAGTGTTTTTGAGAATGGAAATTCTCATTTTGGGAGAAGCAGATATACGGGTAATAGAAAAGAGAGTAAGCAAAAAGTGTTTAGTGCTGAATTTGAATAAGAAGTTTCTGTATAAGTTTATCATTTATTTTTTCTCATGAAAATGTATATTAAATAACTCTGATCACTAAAAAAGGCAAGAAACAATGACCAACCAAGTAGCTATGAACATTTCTAATGCCCAAATCAGGACTACTTCAAGAACCAGCTGTTGTAAAACTGTGGCAAGAATCAAAGAATATAAAAAA